AGAGGGACTGCAGAGAATCACGGGAGGCGTGCGGTCCACTCACCAGCACGGAGGACAGAGGACAGACGCAGCCGTGTGGACAGAGATGTCTCTCTCCGCGGCCCCACAGATGCCCCCCTCTGGCCGCGAGCTTTCATTCAGATGAGTCTGCTCAGCACCATCCAATCCGCAGCTAACCATCCACACAAGGGAGGGGGGGGGGGGGGGGGGGGGGTGAAGGCAAACAAAAGGGATCTTCAGAGATTTTGCACAAGACCGCTGAAACTGAAATACAACCCAGTTCCTCCTGCTCCTGCCAGAAAGTAGAGCGCAACGCAAGACCGCGGTCGTCTTTTCCCCTCGTCGAATGTCCGCCTGTGGCACACGACGGATACGCGGCGGCAGTGCGGAGCCAGAGGAGGGAGCGGGGGGGCAGTGACGTTTTAACGTCAGTGTCTTTACCGAGTGAGCAGGGCTGTCCTGAGCGGATGCAGGCAGGACAAGCGGCAAGACAGTGCTGTAATATATATTCCCGGCCTTCAATTATCATTCATTTTGGCCATTCAATTTGCCATTACCGTTTATTTTCCTTCCATTTGCCACTTCATCGAAGTGAGTAATCGATTATTGAATCACACCCCAGACATTGTGGGGCGTCATATTGTACTGTGTTATACTGTATACATGTTGTCATTTTGCAGATGTTCCAGTGTGGAGCTGTTCACTGCCTGTGGTGCTGAAGAGTACTGTATTTTGCTAAACTGCAGGGTACCAGATTTTCCACACGGGGGCCAGACGTGTAATGACTGACTGAAAAGTATATTTATAGTGTGCTTGGACTTTGGTGATTTACCAGGCCATTAAACAAACAAACAGTAATTAAATAGGGGATGAAGACATTTCCACTTACAACCTAAATGTGTAATTGTAGGGGACTGCATGAGGACCGAATTCACAGGCCCTTTAAGGGAAAGGGGCTTAATCCTGAGACCAGGGGGGAGGTTAAAAGTAGCAGGAAGTAAATGTTTGTTGTTGTGAATAAAAGGACAAGGTGCAGCCACGCTCCTACATAATAGTTGTTTTACTAATAACAACTCATAGTCCACTTCATTTTTCCAGTTGTTTACTGAGAGTTTAACCTCCATATTGAAAAGAGAGGCGAACATCTGTCCTTTTCTGTGATGGTTCTATCCAATGAGTGTCAATGAGCTGCAGAGTTCTGTTCTATGTATACTATTTTGCATTAAACAGAGGACAATGTAAAGGAACTTACACATCTGTCTCTGCTCTCTATTTTTGATAAGTTGATTACATTTCTTCAAGTAAATGTCCTTGTTTAAACTGAACTATTAACAAGAAGCAAGTGAATAACATGCAGACACTTATGGACCAACGAGACTGTTTATTTTGATGGCCATAGCTGTCGCAGGGAATTGACTCAAACAACCATCTTCTCTGCAATGTTGATGGGACCCAGGGTGACATCACCTTCCCATTTGTTACGTTCTGACTCCCCAGGAGGGGAGTGGGATTCCCGCCACTGCCAGAGGACATCCTGTGGCCAGTAAACGGGTATGGCGTTGTAGGTGCAAGAGAAAAAACATCACCTGACGTTGGGGTAAGCAGGCTTTTATTTAAGCGCAGTTAACAGGGGAAATGAGGAGGGCTGGCGGTACCAAAGCAAAGAAAAGAACAAAATGCCTCCCACCCCCTTACCTGTCCTATCTCCCAACGAAAACCACTAACTAACTGGCACACTAACAAGGCGCCCTACCCAAACTTACTGTAGGTGGCCCTGCCAGGTGTATCTAGTGTTGTTAGACAGGAGAGTAACCCTAGGTGCAGGTATGTAAACTCCGGAGCAGGGCTAAACTACTCCTCATCCCCCTGTAATAATAAGAACAAAGAAAAAACAATTAATTGAATACACAGTACAGCAAATCACCAGAACTATTAACTACCCCACCATACACCAGCACTCACATACACACAACCAGTGACACCCCCCGGGTGAAACAAACACAGGGATACATATACTGACAGAAGGGCATGATGGGATTGGAGATGAGTCGAAACAGCTGAACCGGGTAACTAGCGGGGGTGGAGCCAAGATGAATGGAGTTCATGGATGATCAGTACCACCTGTATGAACACACACACAAAACAGAACACATACACAAATCTATACACAGAACAGGGGACGTAACACCATTCCAAAACTAGAAGTTAGGACAAAAGACATGTGTCAAATTATGCAGCACTATAATTCTCTAACTAATACTCATATCAGATGAAATGCTTTAGAAAGACTGCCGAACGGTAGCCTCGATATTGATGATGTCTCCCAGGAAAAACTTGTGGCTTGGCCTTTCATGTTGGAAGTCATCTGTTTAGTGGAATGATGACATATACATATTTTAAATAAAAATTTCCCAAAGTTAAATTGTGCAGATACATTGTTCTCTTGCTCACCAGTCATGAGTCTCAGAGTGAAGTACAAGAATTCCTGAGCCATTCTAACAGCCACGCGGGATGAAGAGCAAGGCTGTTCACATTGTGCTTCTTAACGGATTAAATGGATTCATTAGAATGCAGATTTAAAAGATTCTCACAGTATGGTGGATTTGCCATTAAAATGAGCTAATCCAATTCTTTTATTTTATTACCACACTTCTAACTGATAGGGTACATACCTTGGGTAGTGGCATTCCGCAATGACAGCAGCTTGGCTGGTTCTCACCACAGGGGAGGAGCCCAGAGGACGGGGAAGGTAATTCATGGTGAAGGTGTAGATGATGTAATCTTCTGTCATCTAAATACGTATCAGTGCAAACATTGAAAATTAGAAATGAATATATTTGACCAAAGATTAAATAAATATTCCTCGCAATTTCTTAATCATTTCACAGTGATCTGAATCATCTTCCTTATGCTTACCCTTAATGCGCTGAGACAATCCTGCAGGTGCGCCTCATAAATCAAGACCTGAGCATTAGTGTCTTCTCCAACAGCAGCACCGTTTCCCATCGTCAGGTCAGTGGGATTGATTAACTGGCCTGTCCCAAACATGTCCCTCTGGACTTCCACATGAACGATCTTCTCTCTGCAATCGACAGAGACAGATGAAGCAGCAACAGGAGATCTCAGCTCGAAATCCACATTGTCTTTGGGTAGAGGCTCCGGATCTTCAGGGTATTTCCAGGTGAGAGGTTTCTCAAATGTCTGCTTTGTCTGTTGGGGATTATAAGGAACCTGTTTGTTGGGCGCAGGGACCCCTGGAATCCATTGCGCCTCACAGAAGCTACCAAGCAAGGCCAGAGCCACAAGGCACACAGTACACTTCATCACTGTTAGGGATTTAAGCCAGAAGTGCACCCCTAGTCATAGAATTTGTAGTGCGTGTAATGATGTTTAGTGATAGAATTGTAGTTTGTGTGATGTTAGATTAGTTATTACATTAACATGTTAGATGAAGTGAATACAATGTGAATCAAACACAGTTTATAGTCTTTTAAAACGTAGAAACACACTACACATTTACATTCTGTTACAATGTGATGTTAAAACCTGGGGACGGATGCCAATTGCCGTTCTTTATGGATTTCTCCCAATTTTATCCCCAAAAAGGGTTTTTTGGGAGTTTTTTCTCCTGTCAGGTAATAAAATGAACAACTTATTTCAAGGCAGCCGACTGAGGCAAATGTCTTGAGAATTGAACCACATGAACTGTTTTAGATCTTATGATGAAGTGTGATGAACGGTGATCATTAGTGATGGGTTGTTGTAATTAAAGTGTACTAGTTATAAGATGAAGACTTAAACGCTGTATGCTTTGTTAAATTCACTCATTGGGGCATAAAGCCGAATGTATCTACATTGAGTGCATTGGAATGTGAGGGACAGCTAGTACAGTGAGGTTTCAGGTTACAGCTGCAGCTTCACACCTCGACGTGGAAGGGACAATGGAGGAGGTGACCCTTTGGAGAAGAGGCCAATGACATTCAAATGCACCAAAGAAGACACACCTCAAGAGGTTTCAAAGGACCATGGCGGGGAAAAGACTGTTAGAACTTCTCCTGCAGCCGCGTTGATAAGTCACTTCAGACTTGCTCAGAGGATTCTCTATTTCGCGAAATATTCCACTGTTCGCTTAGTATTTCACTTTGTAATTGTAATCCCTATTACGTTGTTCAGTTATTAAATAACTTTTGATTTTTGAATTTAAACGAATTGACTCATTCGTGTCCTCGTTTCCGGCCGGGACGAGAACAAAGGATTGAGTCCTCCCTCGAGAGCTTCCGAAACCTTAACAGTACCCAAAATAACAAACCGCATTGCTCACCACAAAGGCACACACGCACACTGGCACAGTGTCTGGGATTCCTGCAGGTTAAATGGCCTACCTGGGCTGATCCGAGGTCGGCTGAGCCACAAAGCACTTACAGCCCCCTAGTGGCAAAATTAAATGAAATAATACCAAACAAATATGGCTCCTACACTCCAGCCCCTAATTGCGTCTGCCAGAGCAATTACCCCAAATCAAAAAGAGCCATGAACAAAACACAAAAAGATAGTTACCAATAGAACCAATTACTCTTTAGTTTCATTAAGCAAGCATATTTTGGTTCTGGGTCGTTCAATGATGTTTGTCTTGGTCTTTAAACAAACCACACGTACCAGACCTCTCTTATCAGGGAAGGTTTCCAGGACTCTTCCTAGCATCCATGATCCACGTGGTGCTGTGGAGTCCGCAACCATGACCAGGTCCCCAGGAACAAAAGTCCTCTTCTCCTGGTTCCATTTTTGACGCTCCTGTAAAAGTATTTGTGGGTCCACCTCTTCCAAAAGAGATCCGAGGTGTACTGTGTTTGTTTCCACCTTCTCCTTGCGTAAACATCCCCTTTGTTGAACAGTCCTGGTGGGAGAACTGGTTTCCCTTTGAGGAGTAGCAGATGGTTTGGCGTCAACGGCTCAAGGTCGTTGGGGTCTGACAGCCTTGTGATGGGCGATCCACTGTATGGAACCCTTCGTCATCCAAGGTTTACTGATGGCGCACAGAGCACAAAATCTTCCTGATCATCCGTATCATGCGCTCCCAAGCGTCACCGTGATGTCTCCCAGCTGGAGGATTAAAGCTCTACCTGATTCCCTTCTTGGACAATGCTTTTTCAATGCGGTCATGATTCAAAGAGGCTAAGGCTTTTCGCAGCTCCTTATCTGCACCCACAAAGTTGGTGCCATTGTCGGATCTCAAGTGCAAGACTTGTCCTCTTCGACAGATGAACCTTCGCAACGCATTGATGCACATGTCTGTGTCCAGAGAATAGGCCACTTCCAGGTGCACAGCCCTGCTTGTCATGCAAGTAAATACTACTCCATACCTTTTCATGATGCTACGCCCTCTTTTCACATCAACTGGCCCAAAGTAATCTACGCCAACGTTAGTGAATGGCGGAAGATCAGGAACCACTCGCTCTTCTGGCAGGTCTGCCATTTTTTGCTCAGCGGTTTTCCTACCATGGAGCTTACAGATGAGGCATCTTGATATGATCTTCCTCACTGCAGTAGGTCCACTTGTGATCCAGTATTTTCTCCTTATAGCAGAAAGAACATGATTTCTACCTCCACGTCCAAGCTGTAAATGGACATGATGGAGGATAAGGTCGGCGATGTGTTGGTCTTTTGACAAGATGAGGGGGTGTTTAACGTCCTCGGGGATTGCTGCCTTATTCAACCGTCCCCAACTCGTAGAATTCCTGCATCCATTGAAATGGATCCAATTTGAGGATGCTGCTACTTCTTGGTACTTGTGGCTTGCCAGAGGTTAGTGCAGCAAATTCAGTGGGGAATCTCTCTTGCTGGCAAAAAGCGATTATGGAGGTCTCGGCCTCCAAGAGATCTTCCAGTGTCACCTTCTGATTCCCAAGTGATGTTGAGAAAGCTTGAATCTCCTTTTGCACATCAAACCTGGCTGCTCCTGTAGCACTGGTGTTTGCACACTCTAACTCTTTTCTTTTCATCCTCAGTTTGAGAAGAGTTCCTTTCAGCTTAATGAGCCACGCAACTGCAACCTTCAATCTTTGCCAATCAGAGAAATGGGTAATCAGTTGTGATGTGGCGTTGGTGTCAACAAGTATTGCATTGACCGTCAGACTTCGCTTTACTTCTGGGTCGTCGGCAGTGACACTTGAATCCACAGGAAATGTTGGCCATGTTTCTTCAGGTTCCCGTAGGAAATCCGGGCCTTCTATCCATCTTTGCTTCACAAGATCTTCTGCCTTCAAACCACGTGAAGCATTGTCAGCAGGGTTCAGGGATGTGGGAACGTATCTCCACTGCTCAACTTCCGAGTTGTCCCTGATGGTGGTTACCCTGTGTGCTACAAAGGTTTGAAATCTTCGGTCCTCATTTTTTATGTACTTAAGAACGGATGTGCAGTCAGTCCAAAAGCAGTCTTCTTCGGTGGAAGCTGGAGCTCTGATTGAAGCATCTTGTCCACTCGTACTGCAACAACGGCAGCGGTGAGCTCCAAACAGGGAAGGGTGACAGGCTTCAGGGGGGACACTCGGGCTTTGCCAAATAAGAAAGAAACATGAACCCTCTAATCCATGTTCTGCATCCTCAGGTAAGTAGCCGTACCATAGCCGTTCTCGCTTGCATCGGCGAAGTGATGCAATTGGGCACTGACAGTCCTTCCAAATCCTTCAAGTTTCACACATCTGGGGATCTTGAAATATGCCACCTTCTCAAGATCTGTCAGCCATTTGTTCCACTTCTGCTGAAAAGATGGAGGTATTGGATCATCCCAATCACACTTTGTCTTGCATAACTCCTGCAACAGCAGCTTGGCGGGGAGTATTAGAGGTGCCAGGAATCCCAATGGGTCGTAGACGGAACTGCTAATGGATAGAATGCCTCGCTTGGTTGGCGGCTTCTCTATGACTTTCAGCTTGAATTTGGAAGTGTCCGTCTCGATACACCACTGCAAACCAAAAGCTCTGTCCAATGGCAGCTTATCCCTGTCCAGATCAAGCTCATGCAGGTTCTTGGACCTGAGATCCTCTGGGAGGCTTTGAAGCACTCTTCGACTGTTACTAATCCATTGAGTGAGGATGAACCCTCCTCTGCCGCAAATGGTTGTAAGATTCTTTGCCATGGTGACTGCATCCGCTTCAGAGGGTGGTCTCTTCAATAAGTCATCCATATAGAAGTTTTCAGTTGACCGTTTCAATCACTTCTGTTGAAAAGTTGGCCTGATTGTCTTCAGCGGTCTTTCTAAGAGCAAGGCAGGCAACACTGGGTGATGAAACCGCTCCAAATAAATGGACAGTCATGCGATGCTCTACAGGGTACCATGAGGCCACCATAAGAATATTAAGTAGTCCCGGTGTTCCTCTGCCACTTTAACCTGGTGGAACATAGCCTTTATGTCCGCCATTATGGCCACTTGTTCCTCCCTGAACCTCACAAGAACTCCAACTAACGAGCTGGTGAGGTCCGGTCCTTGCAAAAGCTGACTGTTGAGCGAGATCCCTTTGTACTCTGCTCCACAGTCAAACACCACCCGTAGCTTTCCCTTCCGTGGATGGTACACGCCGTGGTGCGGGATATACCACACCTTTCCTGTTGGCGTTTCCAACTGATGCTGCGGTACTTCTTCGGCATAGCCATTGCTAATGACATCAACAAGAAAGTTGTTGTACTCCTCATGAAAGCGTCTTTCTGAAGTCTTCTTTTCAGACAACGAACACGTTGCATGGCAACACCGAGGTTGTTCGGCATCAAAACATCTTTCCCTTTGAAAGGCATTTGAAACACGTAGTGTCCATTCTGAAGCTGAACAGAGCTTTCCATTATCTCCACAAACTTCTTTTCTTCCCTTGACATTTCTTCCTGTTCTGCAGAAGCTCGCTCATTGAAGTCATAGTTGTACTGGCTAGTTAACAATTCTTCAATTCTGTCAATGGCATTTCTGTTGGCATAAATGGAAGGGTGTTCACTTTCACTGTCGCTACTTCCTCGTAACGGACCATTTATTACCCACCCCGGTAGGGTTTTGATCGCGTAGGGTCCATCTTCACCTTTGCGACTGTTAATCACCTCCCAAGGCCCCATCAACTTGGAGACGTTTGTGCCAATTAACAGGTCAACATCAGCGTTTACGTGGGGAATTTTAACGTCCTCTAAATAAGGCCATTTTCTTAGCTCCCTTTCGCTGATTATGTTGGCTGTAGAGACAGGCATCTCTTTCTGGGTACACACTTTAGGATGGGGATAGAAGCACTCACCAGAAAATCCTGAAATCTCCAGACTTTCAACAACAGAGCTTTCTACTGCGTTATTATGGCCCAAAGTGTGGATGAGAATCTTGAATTTGCATCCTTCCATGTTCAACTTGTCAATGAGCTTCCTGGTGCAGAAAGTTCCTGTACTCCCTGGGTCCAGAAAAGCATAGGTTTCAATAACTTTGTTTCCCTTTGAGCACTTCACCTTAACAGACAAAATGGGAAGAATTCCATTGCAGTGGCCAGCCCCTGTAAGACCACAAGCGGAGGATGTTGTACAGCTGTTTGAAGTATTTGACTTCTCAGTATTCTTCTGCTCGCCATCCTTCTGAGCTTTCTGAGAAACCCTTTCCTTCTCTATGTGCAAAACACCGGGATGCGTTCGGTTACACTTGTTGCATATTATGCGCCTGTCGCAATTCTTGCTCAAGTGTCCTGTGCACAAGCAACTGAAACACAGACCTTTCTGATTTAGATAGTCCAGTTTCTCCCTGTGTGTCTTTCTTCTCGGTTTAAAAACATTGTTCCAAAACATGATTACCAGCAGCACAATACAGGCAGGAAATAGAATCAGTCTTGGCAAAGGATGTCACTTTGTTCTCAGCTTTTTCCTTCTTGTTACCATCTGGTTTGCTGCATCCTTCCTCAATCTTGTGAGCATCTGCTTTGCATCCATCCTCAATGACCACCTGTGTTGCAAAGCTGTTTCTTCTCAGCTGTTGTTTCACCAGTGACTTGCTTGCTTTGTTAGCTCCTTTGATAACAGGTGAAGTGTCCTCTATGTCACCAAAGACTGGATCTGAAGTGATTCTGACTGGTGCTCGATGTACTTCACAATGTCTGAGAATCGTGCTCTTCGACCAGTTTTCTTCAGTATAAGGTAGCTTCTGACTCAGAATCTTTATGTTTGCTGGCATGTTAAGTTCCTCCAAGTACTGAAAATCATCCATAGCGTTAGAACACTAACGGAGGAAAAGTCCATAAGCTTTCAGCGCTTTGGGGTCCTCAGCTTTGATACTTGGCCATCCTGTGACCTTCTCCATGTAGGCCGGCTTTTATGTTAAACTCATTTTCAAAGTGCTCTTTGAGCAATTTTTTAGCAATAGCAAATCCTTTATCTGCAGTCATATGAAGGCAGCTGCGCACAATATCTCTTGGCTGCCCCCTAGTAAATTGCTCAAGGTAGTACAAACAGTCTCCTTTACAGCTTGTCTTTGCTTCCACGCAGTGCTCAAATGCCTTCATAAATGTATTGAACCTTAGAGGATCTCCATCGTAAATTGGAATTTCTCGGCGTGGCAGCAGTTGCGAGGTTTGCATTTGAACAAGGAGAGCTGTTATGTCATTCTGTTGTTGCGGCACATTATAGAGACCTGCTGTTTGATTTTGGCCTTGCAGTGGTTGAAACACTTGTTCGCCTAGAGTGGGTTGAAAGCCTTGACTGAAGGTTGTCTTTATTTGTAACTGAGGGGTTTGAGAACCTTGAATGACGGTTTTCTTTGGCATGATAGTTGGCGTGGCTACTTGTGAAGCATTGCTTTGTAGTGGTGGAGATGCGTGTCGCTGCGAAGACTGAGACACAAATATCAAGGCCTGGGGATTGAAAGGGGTGCGTGGGAGCTTTGATCTAGCCCCTTTCCTGATGTAGGAAGCCATTCCATTAGATTGCCTTGAATGGACGCTGCTACCGACCTGTAGCACTGCTAGCTTAGCAGAAGTGGCGGCTATCTCCGTGTCCAGCTCGAGCTGCTCCCTTTTTCTCCTCAAGATGAGCTCCTGCTCCTCCAATGCATGCTTATCTTTTAAAGCGGCAGCTCGAGCCAAGAGTGCGGCCTGTTCCGCCTTCGCCCTGCGTCTGGCTGAAGAAGTGGAGGTCTGCTGCTTGAGGATCCGCTCCTTGAGCCATGGTGCCTTGACTGCACATTTGAAATGCTGTCATGAGGTTGAATCTGATCTTCCTCTTCCTCTTCCTTTCCACCAGCAACTCCAATTCTATTGCTGGCATCAGCCTTATTTCCATTGGCATCAACGATTTGAGGACCATCCCTTTCATGCTCCTTTAAAGTGTTGTCAACAACTGTGTGTTTTTCTGTTGGTCAAATTACATTTTCACTTTGCACAGTTTGAGTTTGCTCAGTTTTAATTTCAGTTTGACCTGGCAAATCATCATCATGATCATCACCTACTTTGGTGGCTGGACATCCTTTAATGTCATACAACCATTGATTCGTACCCACAATAAACTCATGGATATTCAACATTTTAGCCTGGTACCATATTTCATGTTTGCTTGCTTCATCAGCAGGCAATAAACCCATTAAAGATGTATGCACCTGCTGTATTTTGCCACTCAACTCATTGAACATGTTAAATTCTTTTTCAACCTCACTTACATTCTTTTTATCACCCATTAATTTAGCAATATATTCTTTTGCGTTCGACAGTTTACAAAATTTAGACTTTCTTTCCTTTTCTAAAATGCTTATTTTTTCCAACAAAGCTTTGGGTGTTAATTTAACCACACGTTTTTCAGTTACAGTTTTTACCCGTGCACTTACAAGTTCAGTCTCAAGGCCCAGTTTTGGCCCTTTTGATCTTCGGCCATAATGACCACACAAAGTGAATTGGCTTATTAATCAACAAGCCCGCAAAATAGTTTATGTTGCGCAACAACTCGTCCAGACGCGCAAAGTTCTTTTTAGACGGTTGCGAGTTTGCTACCAATGCATTGGATTTACGCGAATGTGTGCACACAAATTACCATGGCCATTCATAATATCAGCGCTGGTCACCACATACCCCAATCGAGCGTTGGCCGGCTTTGATGAATGTTGTCCCGGTCAGCTGATGCTGGTATTTTTGCCCCTGCAGCTGGCTCCGGTGCAGCTTCAGTCAACAATCGGCAACTCCAAACATTTTTCCCACCTCACATTCGTGGGTTCCAAACGAACTCCGTTAATCCACAGTGTAACAGGTCCACGTCGTCTCGATGAATGGTTATCCAAATCGAAGCAGTTTTCGACCTAAAGTGTACTGACGAAGTCCTAAACGAAGTCTAGTACTGGTTGCTAATACGGTAGATAGGTTTAGACGTTCGCCCGGTGCGCTCGAACACAGCAAAACGGAGAGTTCTGTGATCGTTACGATTATCTTGCATGTTTATTTTACATCCACATATCATACAGCGGCAAAACTTTAACTGATAATACATGTACCCAAAATAACAAACCGCATTGCTCACCACAAAGGCACACACGCACACTGGCACGGTCGAAAACTGTTTGCTTCCCAAATTAGCAACACCTGTGTCTGGGATTCCTGCAGGTCTACCTGGGCTGATCCGAGGTCAGCTGAGCCACAAAGCACATACAGCCTCCTAGTGGCACAGAGCAAAATTAATTGAAATAATACCAAATGAATATGGCTCCTACACCTTCTCTTTTCTATGTCGATGGCATGACTAGTCTGACTAGTCTGACTAGTCTCAGGTGAAAGGATTTAATACAAAACTATTTTAACAGCGTGGACTAGTCCTAAAGTGGCATTATTACATGTTGACTTGTTTTAGGGATTAATCTCTTCTCTGCACCAGTTAAAGATGCAGAGCAGAGAGAGTTTTATTAATCCAATGATTTTGCAAATTGTCCACACCACACCATCCAGATGAAAATGTAGCAAAAGGAGCTGTAATCATTTATCAAACTACATCTCGGATATCTGTTTCAAATTCAGGCCTGTATACTTTCAACTAAAGAGAGCTTCATTTGAATTTTTTAAAAAGCAACAAGTTTTTGAAGCTGCAAGCAGCGACGAATGGGGACTCATGACTTCATATGAGTCGGGGGTACTAACGGGAAATCTCTGCCGGGTGTAATGATATCACACAATGGCTCATTGGTTGCGACAGGGGTTGAGGCTATGCTAAGAGTCACCAATTTACCTATCCTGCAGAGACTGTGGGAGGAAGCCACAGTAAGATGGAACACATGCAGGCATGGGGGAAAACATGCAAATGCCACGCAGAAAGACATACAACCTTCTGTGGCACAACTCTGTGCCACCTGTCTCTGATAAGTGTCAATAAAAAATGGTTTGTGGGTAACAAATGGGGTGGGGTTTAGGTGTTGGGGGATGACTGAGTCAGTACTTGCTTGCTCACATGTTCGGGGCTGGACTAGTGCATGAAACATTTGGGGGGCGGGGGGGGGGGTATATTTGAGTTATTACACTGTCAAACATGTCAAGTCAGTTGTACCTGGAAATGAAAGATCACCTGCTGCCTTTAAAAGGCAAGTTACTTCTACTTCAAGATTAGCCTAGTTTCAACAAGACAATAAAGTTGTTTAATTATAATTTAATTATAGTTTTCTAAACATTGTTTTTTAAATCAAAGTTGATTGAGCTTGTAGTCGCTTGTTGTTTTTCGACTGAATATGTTCAAAAAATGTTTAAAAAAATAATAATAATTTGGCGTTATAGTTGACAGAATACGTTTCTTCAATATTCAAACAAACCCACATTTATGCATTATTGAGTTACAAGACGACATAAGCGCTATTTAAAATTACAACGTTTGAAATTAGAGACGGAGAAGGTGCAGGGGATTATACACAACCAGATTATGAGAGCATTACACCAGGTTATTAAAAAAATAAAATAAAATGTGCAGTAAACAACAAGAAGACGAGTAAATCCTATCATTTCAAAATTGGGAATAACTAAATTCCAATTCGATTTCTAATAAAACATGTAGCTTGTCTTTATTATAAAGGTTATTGCCAGTTATTGCAAACCTGATGAAAACATTGTGTGAAGAACAACTCAATTGCGAAATAACAGCATCCTCTTAGTTGGGTTTTGACGCGCATTTATTTGTTTACAGGCAGTGTCCGAGCACCGTTGTACGTTTATGATGACCCTCAAAGCAACTCAAAGGTGTGCTTTATATTATGCAGTAAGGAGTAGATCTCTGGGCTCATGTAGGACGTTCTCCACTCTAACCACGGTCACATTTCAAATTTCCAAACAAAGTACAGAAGTCCTTTGTGTTCGTTCACAAATACCACAGCCTCAGACGCCTCAGCAGCCACAGCAGCCACAACAGCCTCAGCAGCCACCGCAAAAACCAAACCCACAGACGCCTCAGCAGCCATGGCAAAAACCGAACCCACAGACGCCTCAGCAGCCATGGCAAATACCAAAGCCTCAGACGCCTCAGACATCTCAGCAGCCATGGCAAATACCACAGCCTCAGACGCCTCAGCAGCCACAACAGCCTCAGCTGCCACCGCATAAACCAAACCCACAGACGCCTCAGCAGCCATGGGAAATACCAAAGCCTCAGACGCCTCAGCAGCCATCACAAAAACCGAACCCACAGACGCCTCAGCGGCCATGGCAAATACCAAAGCCTCAGACGCCTCAGCAGCCTCAGCATCCACAACAGCCTCAGCAGCCACCGCAAAAACCAAACCCACAGACGCCTCAGCAGCCATGGCAAAAACCGAACCCACAGACGCCTCAGCAGCCATGGCAAAAACCGAACCCACAGACGCCTCAGCAGCCATGGCAAATACCAAAGCCTCAGACGCCTCAGACATCTCAGCAGCCATGGGAAATACCAAAGCCTCAGACGCCTCAGCAGCCATCACAAAAACCGAACCCACAGACGCCTCAGCAGCCATGGCAAAAACCAAACCCACAGACGCCTCAGCTGCCACCGCATAAACCAAACCCACAGACGCCTCAGCAGCCATGGGAAATACCAAAGCCTCAGACGCCTCAGCAGCCATCACAAAAACCGAACCCACAGACGCCTCAGCGGCCATGGCAAATACCAAAGCCTCAGACGCCTCAGCAGCCTCAGCATCCACAACAGCCTCAGCAGCCATGGCAAATACCAAACCCACAGACACCTCAGCAGCCTCAGCTGCCTAAGCAGCCTCAGCAGCCCTGGCAAATACCGAACCCACAGACGCCTAAGCAGCCTAAGCCGCCGGAGCAGCCATGGCAAATACCAAACCCTCAGACGCCTCAGCAGCCTGACCAGCCACAACAGCCATGGCAAATACGAACCCACAGACGCCTCTGCAGCCTAAGCAGCCTAAGCAGCCTCAGCAGCAATGGCAAATACCAAACCCACAGACGCCTCAGCAGCCTAAGCAGCCCCAGCAGCCATGGCAAATACCAAATTCCCAGACTCTTCAGCAGCCTCAGCAGCCTCAGCAGCCGTCATATATAGAGAACCATGACAAACTACATGGCGTAGTTGATACAGCCAGGATACCATGTGGACCTCCTGACATTACTTCTTTAGATTGTCAAGCTATAAACTGCTGCTATCAGGGACGAATGTGCTATTACAGCAAAGCTGGTAACCTTTTTTTGTATTTCTTTCAGAATTATATGGATATATACAAAGATGATAGCAATAGCATGCTTTCGATCTTTTGATCTCAGTGACTCTTCAGTGCACCAAGGATGCCCAAATCATCATTGTGGTGTCCAAAGTGGCCACCATACCCTTCATGGATTTGGACTCAATCCATTTCAATGGAGATGAACCAAATTGTAGTGCTGTTGACACCACATCACACTTTGCGGTCTATCAGTTCCCTCCCACTGGCTGCGGCACCGTCCTAAAGGTAAGGGTTGCAACTCATTAGACAGTTAATATATTAATATAATAAATTCATTTTCAAGTAGTTATGAAGATTGAAATACAATCCATATTACTGTAGGCGGAACCTGGAGTTCTTATCTATGAGAACAGGATGTTCTCCTTATATGACGTTTCTGCGGGACCCTACGGAATGATTACCAGAGACAGCCGTTATGAGTATGTTTTTCTTTCTTCAACACTGAGTGCTCACAACGTAAAAAGATTTCTACTTCTACTGCTCGGCTAAGGCTACATTTTCAAACAAATCAGTGGTTTCCAGAGGATAACGTAAACTGACCTTTAATTCACTGGAATCCTTTAGGGTTAGCTAATTGTGATATTACAATATGAACTCCAATAGTTTTCTGACTGACTAACATGGACGTTATCTCTTGTGTCAGGCTGATTGTCCAGTGTAAATACATTGGCAGCACTGTTTTCGCTGTAACAATTGAGGTTGGCCCTCTTCCGGCACCATCCTCAGTTGCAGCTCCTGGACCTCTGCGCGTGGAGCTGAGGCTGGGCAACGGACAGAGTGTCACCAAGGGCTGTCGGGAAGGTTAGTGTGAAGGAGATACTTTGTGCAGTTTTTTTTCTAGTGAGTTCTTCAACACCCAATCTTTTCTGTTTTGAGCAGAGGATGTGGCCTTCAACTCCTTTTACGCGGATGCCGACTACCCCATCACTAAGGTGCTCAGGGATCCTGTGTACGAAAGAGTGAGTAGTACGCCATATACCACACTGGTATTTACACCATCAATGTGTGTGTTACTCTGAAGTCTCTTGCCCTTGTTTTTGACAAAAATTAATATGGTGAATTAGATAGATAATGCTTTTCCATAGAGGAACATCATGGTTTGTGGTAAAAACAAATGCTCATGCATGAATCCTCTTGTGTCTTAACTTCAAGTCTGACTGCAACTGTCCTTTCCCATGTATTGTACACAGAGAGAGACATTGCTGCTTCGAGCAAGGGAGGCCCCAGAGCTCACACCGTGGAGCTTGTCATCACCAACCAAGAATGAGTATTTGTTAATAACATGCAGACAGAACTTATAACATGAAATATCTGTTCTAGATGCTTACTAATAAAGTCTTTGAATTTCAAATAAATATTTAAGTTTCTGAATTTTGTGGTTTGGTTATTCTGATTATTTCAGGGTTAGAAGTAGCCTTAAAGCGTATCATTGTAGATCACATGCCTAGCTGTCAAAAACCTTTCCACAGGAGGCCATAATAACGGTGATTCCTAAAGGAAAGAACAATGATAGCTGCTCTGGGTACAGACCTATAGCAATACTTAATATAGACTATAAATGATATACTTTAATTATTGTAAAGAGATATAAACACTTGAAGGACATTATAGATGAGGACCGGCTTCATCAAGGGGCGCCAAACCCAGGATAACATACGGAAAACACTACATATAATTGAACACATTAATCGTAAAAACATTACTGCGGCCTTAATAAGCCTTGATGCAGAAAAGGCATTCGACAGGGTAAACTGGAATTTACTATTCCAGGTATTGGAGAAATTTGGACTAAGCAAAAGAGCTATTCAATGTGTCAAAACACTTTACCATAACCCAACTGCAGGGATAAAAATAAATGGCAGTCTGACTGTTAGTATAGGTAGGGGCAGTCCACCAGGCAGGGATGTTGTCTTTCACCAAGTCTATTTGTTATCTTTTTATAGAACCCTTTGCACAAGCCGTTAGGCAGAATAAAGACCTTATGGAATAAAGGTTGGAAAGGAAGAACACATTATAGGCCTTTTTGCGGATGACATGATCTGTTACTTAAAGGACCCCAACAGATGCCTGCCCCAATTAATCGATCAACTCGAGACGTTCGGTTCTTACTCCGGATATAAATTATCTGTCAAAAACGGAAATCCTAACACGAAATTATAAACCTTCTGAAAGTATACAACAAACTCTGAACTTAAAATGGAGTTCTAAAAGAATGACATACCTCGGAGTAACTATAACAAAAATTATTGATGATCTATATAAAGCCACCTATACCAAAATGGATCAAGACATGAGGACTGACATGGAGAGGTGGGCTATTTTCCTGTTAGATCTCAGCTCACAGATGGATACTTAAAAAATGAGCATACTTCCAAAACTCCTCAATTGCTTTCAATCACTTCCAATCGAGATCCCTGAGAAGTAATTCAGAGCTTGGGATAAAATTATTTCAAGGTTTATATGGAATAGCCAAAAGCCAAGAATCAAATATGAAACATTACAGATTGGAAAGAGGGAAGGGGGGGATGTCACTACCTGTGCATGTGACCTTTGACCTCATGCATGCGCAAGGGGGCGTATACAGGAAGTGGGCGTAACCGCCGCCATTTTGCGGTCATGCACGGAAATGCGTCATTTTACGAGTGGAAACGGAAATACGTCATTTTGGGGCGTGATTTGTAGGGGGGCGTGCACTGTTTAAGCATAAATACGCCATGCTTTTGACGATGACGTGAGGGGTTTTGATTGGAAATTCGCCTATTTCTGGGTGTGTTTTATGCGATGGGCGTTAGTTTTGACCGGAAACACGTCACTGTAGGAGGGGTTTCATCATATATATAGATGTGTTATTTGGCACCGCGATCGAACCTTCCTTTTGGACTCATCCACGGGGCTTCACGCTCCAGGATTCTTAGTGAAACAGCAGAGGCCTATCCCAGTGTGGTCCCGGTGTCTTCTTCTTCTCTTCAAAGGTATGAGAGACCCCGCCACAAATCAGTGAGACACTGGTGCTTCTGTTCAGATTCACCATTAACATCTTAATGCATGAATTAGGGGGCTATCTTCTTCTGGTCCATCAGGACACAATTTGTAACCTAACAGAGGAAAGCCCTGAGGGTCACAAAGGCCTACCCTCAGGAAAACAGACATCTTAAGTTTTTAACGAGGAACACATGTGTCGACTTAGTGAAGCATAATGTGACACAGCACCCCGACGGTGCCAAACCCTAAATGGCTCGAGAATGGCCCCCCTGAAAACCCTAGGGATGGATAAAAAACAGTGTCCTTATGTGGTAAACAGTGAGCAGTTTAATTTTAATCAACAGATGAACCCCCCCTGAGACCCGGGGGTTGTGTGAAAAGCAGAATCCTTAGGTGGTAATGATGTTGCATTCGGGGGGTATGGGTCTCCTATATAGATACAGCCACGGTTCACTTCTTGACACCTTGGCAGACTGGTGCATCCTCACATTTAAGACATTTCCATTGAGAGCCAGATGTACTACAAGGGGGGAGCAATGTACCAGATATGTGGTAAGTACTTATTTCATTGTCAAATTTATATATATATACACACACACACTGGTATAAATTTAAAAAAGCTTTAAAGATTGTACTATGTCGAGTGATACATATTTGTTTTTATATATTTCTATATATTTTTAATAGGTATTTACACCTTTTAGAAATAGATGACAGCTCGACGCCTATACATGTGAGTCTTGAAAAACTGAAAAAGGAGGTTGCTGCACTCAGTTGTCTACCACCAATGACTACGTACACTAACCAGGGAGCTGGCACAGGTAGGGAAAATGGCAGAATGATATAAGACTTCTATATATTTATTATTTGACGAATCATTCATGGTGATTTTATAATTCTCTTGAAAGAATCAACATCTTGGGAAAAACCGACTGATCGTCGTTATCAAACGGGGGTTGCAGGTAACTGGAACAATATCAAATATTTTTATGTATTTTATTGATTATTGTTGTTGAACTTTTTTTAATTTTTTTTTTACTAATAGACGTGTATGCCCCTCCAGAGAAAAAAAAAAGTACATACGGTTGACCAGTCTGAGAGACCTTCTACAAGGTATGTGACATCATCCATATATATATATATATATATACAATTGTTTTATAACATATTTTGTCCATGTATGCTTGTACAGCAGGGATCAGCTTGACCTGTCTACACCAACAAAGGACACATGGAACTATCCAGGATGCTTGACTGACGAGGAAATGCTGCAGGGGATCTGTGACTATGAAGAAGAGAGTACTACAGTAGAAGCAACATCGGAAGAGTGTGTAACCCCACAAAATCAGGGTCAACAAAGCCATGAGAAGCTGCAACAAACTCCTCTTAAACTCTTTGTGGGGCCGTTTTAGTATGAGCAATAATATGCCTGCATGCGAGCTGATCACAGATCCGGTCCGGTTCACACAATTGATGTTTAGTGACCACTTTGATGTGCGACAATTCTGTTTTATCTCAGATGACGTGGCTTTGATACAGAGGCGACATGCAGACGCCCACGGTTCCCGTATAAAAGACGTAAACGACGAGCCCTGACAACTGCCCATGCCAGATTGATGCTCTACGACTTGTTAGACAAACTGCAGGAGAGGGTCTTGTACTGTGACACAGACAGCATTGTCTTTACATCGAGAGGGAGCGACTGGGTGCCGCCCCTGGGGGCATATCTTGGTGACCTGACTGATGAGTTAAACAGCGGAGACATATGTGGGCTGCCTAGTGAAGACTACATCACAGAGTTTGTATCAGGAGGACCCAAATGCTATGCCTATAACACAATGCAGGGTAAAACAGCTGTCAAATGTAAAGGCGTCACATTAAACGCTAGAAACGCCTCCGTCGTCACCCCCCAGTCACTGATTGGTCTCGTACAGGCTTATGTAACCAATCACAACACACACACTTTGACCACTGTGTCTGAAACTATCAGGCGTGATAAAAAGAAGTTACATCTTAAAAACGAGACAGTTTTTAAGCAAGTCAGAGTGGTGTACAATAAGCGGAGGGTGTTGTCTGACTATACGACCCTTCCTTATGGATACTAACAGCGATCAAGGATTTGATGCACGACTACAACACCCTTTTAGTTTGGTAGTGAGTGGGCCTTCAAACTGTGGAAAGACTTTTTTTGTCAAGGACATTATTGCAAATGCTGAGAGGGTTATTTCACATCGTATTGACAATGTCCTCTACATTTATTCATGCTGGCAGCCTTTATATGATCAACTGCTTAAAACAAGAGACATTAACTTTGTAGAGGGCTTACCAGAGTCTCTGTGCGATGATGTTTTACTACCTCCTGCCAAAAACAATCTACTCATTATAGACGATTTAATGAATGATGCCGGGAATAATATAGAAGTTCAAAATGTTTTTACCAAATATGTACATCATAGAAATCTCAGTTGTGTATATTTAGTACAAAATTTATTTATTCAGGGTAAATCTAGTCGCACTATTACTTTAAACACCAACTATCTCATTCTGTTTAAAAACCCTAGGGATAAATATCAAATCACACTACTGGCCAGACAGATGTTTCCCGGTAATACTAAATATTTTTTAGAGGCCTTTAATGATGCGACCCAACAATCATATGGCTATCTTCTCATAGATTATAAAGCGTTGACCCCCGAACATTTAAGACTCAGAACGGCTTTGCTATCGGAACAACAGGTTGTGTATATTCCCAAAAAAACAAACAGGCGTTAATAACGCTAAAATGTCATCACGCATGCAGAGGAATTTGTCATTGTTGGAGTTGATATATAAATGCAAGCACGGATTTTATCGACTCTCTGTGTGAGATCGCACTCAATGTATTGAGAGGTAACATTCCTTTGACCGACAAACAATTCGCCCTCTTAAAGAAGAAGAAGAAGATTATCCGGCTGGTGGCGGATAAAAAAGTTAAACGGACCAAGAAGAAAAAGACCCTCAACCAGTCGGGGGGCTTTTTATTACCGTTATTAGGGGCTGCTATTCCGTTTATAATTAGTCTTGTCAATAGGCGTGGGTAAAAAATGGAGCACACCCAAAAAATGTTTCTGGTCCCCCAGCATCAGCTTGGCCTAGTAAAGCAGCAGCCTCATTATCAGCAGCAGGATCAACGAGGGTCTATAAGACAGGCGGTGCAAAATGAGCTTGATAGAGCTATGATTGACGTGTTGAATCAACCTGATACAGACATGTACGAAAAAGCCAAAAAATATTCCGTTATTTTACAAAGATACTTGGCTGTGGTGAGACAGGGAGAGCGTGAGAAGGTGGCGTTGCCTTTACCACAACCCTCCGGTGAAAGTGACTCGGGCTCAAATCCTGTCGTTTCAGCAAATGACGTACCAGGAAAAGATGTGATTTTAGGCAATGTGATCAGGCACATACCTAAAAAAAGTAAAAAAACATGCCGAATACATTTTGGATGCTTTGAACCACGCAAAAAACGGCATATCCTGGACAGACCGAGGGGAGATCGTTGTCAACAATCAAACGATCAAAGGCACACATCTGTATGATCTGGTGAAAAGTGTCACGTCCTCGTATAATGTTTTAGACGAATCTAGACCTATCGGTTGGAAGATATTTTTAAAAATACTAGCAGATTTAAATATCCCCCTATCCGCTATCCCCAACACGCAGGTTCGGAGGTCTATTGCTGAATATAAGGGTGGTGATGCAGTTTATGACGGGGGTTTTAATGTTTCGGGGTCATTCAAAACAAAAACTAAGACCAGCCGATCTATAGACAGCACCCCCTTTAAGACACCTAAATCCCTAAAGACCAAATTTTTTAGGAGTGATGATTCGTGGGAAGATTTTTAAGATGTGTTGTGCTATTACTGGGTGACACATGTATTTTTATTATTATTTTTAAGCTTGTACTGGATGCACATTACTTTTTTTTTTTTTTTTATGACACAATATTTGTAATGGTTGTGTATTATTATTATTATTTTAAACTTTCTACAAGTGTTTGTAATGCTTTTGTATTATCTGTTAGTGTGTTCTTTGTGGATGGAAAAATAAAATTGATGTTGACTGCTGAAAGTTGTCTTTATATATTTTATTTATAAAATGTATCACAGGATAGTTTATCATTAGATCACACATTGTACACACGTAAAAGCATCCTCACAACACCCAAAGGGTTGGATTTTGTTAACAAAACGACAGACCATTGCATCATTATTGACTAGATTAGGTCCGTACAAAGTTAAAACTCGTGAATAAGACCAGCCTTTTTGTATATAACATAGAAAAAACACAATGTTGACCACAGGTTGTAGTAAAATTATTTTGAACCTGTTTCCTATAATAAGACATAGCCGTACAGTTATAATTGAGAAAATTAACTATTTCTTTTGGAAACTGTTCATAATCAGGAGGGTTTCCAAAACTGTCAAAGAAAAAGCCATGTTTGTATTTTGTGATATAAATTGCCAACCAATGCTCCCCGGGGCTGTGTATTCCGTGTATAACTACCCGTGTATCCTTCGTTGTCAACAAACCCTAAAACAATAAACTTAGGGATCTGTCCCATGAATAGATTCTCCTGGTTGCAGACTCGGGTCCCCGCCGGAATGGAGAATGTTTTCAGCGCTACTCTGTCGATGGCATACTTGGCGTTTGTGTGTTGAAGAGCCCTGCTGTGCGCCAGTCGGACCGTCGGAGCTACGGAGACCTTTTTTACAAATACACTAGTGTTGGGGAGAAAATTGTTGAGCCTGCGTGGGATGAGGCTCTCAGGAATGTGACCTTTGATGTTCAGGTCTATTGGTGAATATAAGGGGGGTGATGCATTGTGTCATAAACGTGAAGCATGTTGAGCGTTCAAAACTAAACACTCTTGTTATTGTCTTGTGTTTTCATGTGACCTGCAGAACTCGTGCAGGTTTGGTCAGCACATTTGTGAGGCCATGCTTGACATCCAAGCACTTTTCAAGCCTGAAAATGATAAGACGACGGTGGAACATGTACAGCTGGGAAATGGGAAGAAACACATGTGACATACATTGTGGAGTGGATGTATAGATTTATGCCTCACACGAGTCTCTGCGCCGTGCTTCATTCTTACTAACATTCATTTTGGGTGACAGGTTGCGCTGATGATCATCGCACTCAGATTAAAGACATGGTTGTTACTTCACTAATATATTTCTATTTTATACAATACCTTCCAGATCTGCGGTGTTTTGATGCTGAGGAATAGATATTTAAAAGTGGAAATTATTTTTTGTTTATGCAATGTTTTTTCCTTCCTTGCTGGAGTCAGTTTATGCCATAGACGGTATATAAAGCCAATGTAATGGAATACATCTAAATGATCCCCATACACTGTTTATGGTTTGTGTAATGTGAAACTTGTAAATATAGAACTATGGCTGAAACTGAATCATGTAACATAACAATATTTATTATAAAATTGCTGTTTTTTTTATCAAATGTACATTATCCTGCATACATCTCAATCTGTAATCATGCTTAACAGGGGACATGTAAACAGTTATTTATTCTATAAAGTATATATATATATATTTTTACTATATATTTATATATAGTTAGTTACAGTTATTTTCCATTCTTATGCATGAATTGACTAAGAGAGGTTTATTGTAAGAGGTGGGGTGAATGTCATATTGTGCTCCTGGTATCCATATGAACATTTACAGGTTCATTCAGACTTCTAGGGTAAACAAAACCAATCTGGACTTTGATCAGCTGGAAGCTTTTTTAAGTGTTTGACAGACTGGAACATTGAGAGAAAACCACATGACCACTAATCATAAACACCCCCCAGGCTGCTTGGTCTTAGTTATACAACTTTTTTGACCCTAAATAAAGTTTTTAACACAAGGTTCAGCTCCTGATCTGTGACTTCACGTCAATGCACAATCAACATCAGTTGTTGTTGGATGTAAAAACATTTGATTTTTGAATGCGGCTCCCAAAGAGCGGGCAAAAAACAAGCCATTTTCTATTTTAATATTTATTAGTTTAGGTGGGGACAATGCAAAAAGTCAAAGTAATAAAAAACAAACCATTCTGTTCACTCTTTCTTTCAAGGCATCAGTCACGGCAAAGAACTAAAACAAGACTTTATATCTGTACAAAGTTAATGGACAAACAAAAATTAAGCGGTCCGCCTGCTTGATGAGAGCAATTTTAAAAGAGCCAAAGAGGTTGCAGACACCAGACTTCCTAAGATTGAAAATGAATCAACAGTATCCTATTATTGTCTTCGTCCTTATCGCCCTCTTACCAGAAGTTGCCTGCTGATCGCACACATGTAGCATAACGGAACACAACAGACATAAAAAGGCCAATGGATTTGAAGTATGCTCTCGTTCTCGTCAATCGTTACGTCACTGGGATACTGCTAGTTTGAGTCCGCTGGGGGACGACACGCCCCTTGGGCCACTGTGTGGGGCTGTTTCTCACGTAGATACACGCCAACGCAGTCTTTTCTGTGTACATACTATTTTGTGTATATATTTCAAACACCCTAGGATGGTTTTGTAGTTTATGTGTCTAAAACAAACACTCTGGAGAGGTTTCGGGGTTTCCGGTCTGTGATGCAAAGGCGGATTAAGAGGTCGCACCGGGAGTCGGGTTGACGTTCTGCGTGGCTGCTTGTGGTGCCACCTCTATGATCCGTGGTTTGTCGATGATGCGCGCGGTGCGGTTTCCTTTTTCTACAATGCCGATGATCCACGCTTGGTGGCCCTCACCGTATTTTGGGGATTTGATCTCTGCACAGAAGCGGGCAGCTTGCTCCCGAGGCAGACAAATCAGCAGGCCTCCTGTGAAGAAAGGGAGATCTCGTGAGTCACAAGGGGCTAAATGGAGGTTTTTAATGTGAAGGGTTCCTGGCGGGTGCTCCCTTGTCAGACCGCTGGTTATAAATGCTGCCTTTGATGCTGAAACCGATCACATTGATGTTGTGTGGGATACGGTCCAGCTGGCATTAGATGCTGCAGCCCTGTGGGTCTCTTATCTTTATAACTGCCCTTATGAAGTTTTGTAAGGATTTGTCTTTTTTCCTCCTTTATATCCCGCAGGATGTATATATCTGTTTAGGTCGTGTTTACATTCCACCTTTTTACTTGGACGTATCGTTAGTAGTTTCTTTAATCCAAAGCGGACAATCACTCCAACCTTTCCCTCAAAATAAAACATGTACAAGTTGTGTTTTAAAGAATAGCTTTCAAAATGGATACAGATTACCTTCAATACAACTTGAACCTATCAGAAGCCATATTCTTAAAGCCTTTCATTTCAATCTTGCGACAACATTTTTGCTCGTTCCTACTTGGAATATTTATTTTAATTCGTTCTACTATGGTGTGATGTTGGGCACTTTGAGGTTCGCTTGACATATGTGTCATCTACTGTAGAATAACTATGCGTTAAACAGCGGTTAAGAAAGAAAGAACACAACGTGAGCCATGTACACACTCACCGGATGTTTCGGGGCAGGTGCCGTGCATCAGTCCAAACATGTTCCCACAAGCCTTCGACACGGCCGCCATCTTGGCAAGCACTGGGAGGTTGTGGATGACAAACGACACCTCGCTTCGCTGTTGTCGTGCCAACGTCTGAGCGTGGCCTAGGATGCCGAACCCTGTAATGTCGGTGGCTGCGTGAGCGTTGAAGGTGTGCATGAGGCCAGCAGCTACATGGGAAAACAACGGGAGAGGGAGACAGAGAGCGCGCATGACCGTGGGTGTATTAAGGATGTACACAAGTGCTGTGAGCAAATATTGACTATATGATTTGTGCAGATATATTTACACTCCTTGCAGGCCAGACGATGTATGCCGCCTGGAAGCAAAAACTAATATTTTTACAGATTACAGATTCAGAAACTTCTGTTTCACATATCACATTTTCTTAAGGTATTACAAAGCAATCGCGGAAGGCTTTTTGCATTATATTTTGCTATATTAGCAGAAGCTCATTCAACATTTCTCTCTGCCCAACAGCATACGGTACTAGTCAAACATTTGGAACTTGGTTCTGGTACTGTGTGTAGTTATGCAGAGCATGAAGGCCTTTTTAATCGTTTAATAATCTATCATAGGCCTAGCTTGTTTGGTATTGATGCTTCTTGTTATCGAGAATGATTTATGGGAAGTAAATAAAAAACACTTTAAACAAATGGTTGTCACTGTCTATTCATTTTCAGCAACAGGAATTTAATTTCTTTGACTGTATGAAAATAATTACTAAACCTCTTCAATATAAGCACATTGTAAGTTTTCATTGACAAGGAGTTGTGTGGCGGCATTATCTTGTTTCCTTTGGGAAAGGAAGGTCCGGTCTTTCCTGTACTAAAGGAAATAAGAAAGGAAACATCAAAGCACCTTTTCTTGGTACTCTTACCAAGGCTATCCCTTATAGACACACAGATCATTTGATTCTGTTAGGACCCTTCATCAATACAGGCCTGTTCTGCACTGCCTTTGTTGGGAGTTGAAAGTAGTGACACATTTGCCATTTTGGTTTGGAATTAAAAAAATACTGATTTTTACTCGTTCTGCAAAATGCTATTGGTTGAGGCCTTTGATTGTGGTGCAAAGGCTGAGCTGTTTTAAGGCAGTTATCCTCACTGCCTACTAGGACATTTCCATAAGAGGTTCACCTGTCCTGTTGAGTCGAGCCATGTTCATCATTGCTTCATGGTAGGCCAGCTCCACATCCTCCTGGGTCACCACCAACTTGATCTTGTTCCACTTTTCAGGCTGGGAAATAACAAACACACACACAGCCAGTGGCGTTAGTGCGTATCCTAAAAAAGGAGGGGCGTGGATACAAAGTGATTGGAGTGAGTGAAATGAGCGGCGGCGGCAGGGGGACTCACAATATCCAGCCACTGATGTACTGCAACGGCCACCTGTGTTCCGAGCGGCTTGGTCAACACCAACACGTCTCCTGGCACTGCATTGTCTGGCCTGCGAAGCATCAAAACTCGTGATTGTTTTTTTTGGATAACAACAAAATGATACACAAGACGGTGACGTGTGCGCTGTGGAACTCCTTCATACATGATGAATTCGTTCGGCTGGCAGACTGCCGTAGCGACTCCTCCCATGACCACCCAGGGGTTGAGCACTGTCTGTCCGCCTGTTACAGATGTGCCGGCCTCCTCTGACGCGTCCTTGAATCCCTGGATGACCAGTGGCATGACTTTGTCTCTCTCCTTCGTAAACAAGAAAAGGAAAAAGGTAATAAAAACATTATAGTTAATATATATTTGTGTTAAGTCACTCTAGTGAGAGTGGTAGCTGGTGCGTTCTACCACAAACCCGTTTTTTTTTGCAGCTGTTTGCCAGAAAAAGGATCCAAAAGTGAACACATCTGCAGACGTGCCTCATACCTTCTCTGACATTTTGTTGCTGACTCCCAGAAGCATCAACATGTTGTCACACTCCGTCACGCCCATGGCATACAAGTCACTTAGAACGTTGGCACAAGCAATTCTTCCCTAGAAAATGGAAATACTGACCATCAAGTACATCAAGGGTTGTATTATAAAGGCACAACCAAATAATACAGAGAAAGAATTGCAGAATAAAATCCGTACCATCATGTAGGGGTCATCCACAATGGGGTAGATGTAATCTGTTGTCTGGACCAGAGAAAGGCCTCCATGTCTGAGGGGGATCACACAGGTGTCCATTCCTATGCCTTCAAAAATACAAGAGATCTATATGTGATATTGTGTGCATTTCTGGTTTTATTCTGACTGCTGGGCTTTTAAGGACGAGGGAATTTAAACTGACTCATTTTAGTGTGCAGTCATTCGCCTATCATCATATTATCATATCTCTTGGTCCCTTACGTATAATATAACACACATGTTTTTAGAGTTATGTATGAAGAAACTTTATATTTAATGCCACAACAAAACTGGTTTACTCTACAGAGGAAAATTCTTCTTCCACCTTTAACATTATATGTATACTCATTGTAACTTTAATTTTTTGTTATTACAGTACTATACTAGTATCATAATAACCTAATCGGGGCATGACCGCCCCCAGGAACTGTTCATCTTCTTGATAGTGGTTCTCCTGTAGAGCTTCCAGCAGCTTCTGTAAAACATCCTGGGGCACCTGTGACCGACGACAAAAACCACCGTAATCATTATGCTGCATTCTTTTACATCACATTTGATGGAATATCGAGTAATATGAAGAGATATGCCAAAACAATGATGCATTTATACTGATACATACAGATATTCATACTGAGATCTAACCTTGCACCCAGTACCCTTGAGCTCAGCAAAGCGCGTGAGTCTGAAGTTCTTGTCCAGCTCGTAGCTTTCAGGGTTGAAGGACTCCCTCACAGACATGTCTGAAGAAAGTCTGGGTCTTCACCACTGGAATGGCCCCGGGAAAGAACAAGAGACAAATGTGATTAGAAACGCTGTTTGAATAGATATGTGTTTAAAGCCAATCTTGTTAATTGTGTTGCCTTTAAATACTAAAGACTTCAATCATTCACATCTGCAACCTGTTATCCACTTATGTGCTCATCTGCACATAAATTCCAGAGAATCAAAGTACAAATTATGTTTAATCTGAAGCAACATTGCTGAATTAAATACTGACTTTGTGTGCTCATACTATTTTAAGACTGTGTCAGAGCTACATTTAACAATGACACTTAATATGAATTATTAATTAATCTCTAGGTCTCTTAGAATGTAACACAAGCGTAATGTTTTAAGATATTATCATTGTTTACAGTAAATTTAAATAAAGTAACATAGCAAAATCCTTACAATTGAGATACTGGATATAATTTTAAAAAAACATGTATTAACCATCAGTCTTACAAAGCCATTTTGAGGACACTTTGAATTAGCAACACCTCATCAAAGCAACAAAACACATGGAGTTATAAACACACAAAAATCTCTGATAAGTCTTAACGTTAAATAAAAAAAAGGAACGTGGTGGGTCCATTGCATTGTGCTGAATGTGAATATCCAAAAATATAGTCCTGCATAGATTTAAATGATATTGAATTGATAAATTGCAAGTGAATTTGAATGGTAAGGACTGACATATTTTGGTTTAAGTATTTCGATTACTTGTCTCTTATTCCCCTGTGTTTCTTTCCAGCTGCTGTTGACCCCCTGAAGGGGCCGCGGGGGGGGGGGGGGGGGTTAGCGCACAGTGGGAACGTTCAAGTGGCAAAACGCTGCAAAGTTCATTCAACCCTGATGCACCGGCTCACAACAACAGCGCCGGACACTCGCTTTAATATCAATCAACTCTTTAAAATCAGAGTCGGGATACCTGTGCTGAAAGTTACACCGTTACACATCTCACTTCTGTGGCCAAACTAAAAAACGCCGTTTCCGTTTGCATGCTAACTCTCGCTTGCAAACGCCGATCAATGCGTTGAGGCGATGAGCAAAGAGGCGAGCAAGAGGCGAGAGTGCGCGAGCCGTAAAAAAAACTATTACACCACTAAGAGACGCGTACCGCGGGCCGCAGCGCGGGTGTGGTGCGCTCCGGGTGAAGGACGCAGTGACAGTTCTTGGCCCATGTTAAGTTAAAAAGTTGTCGTTGAGCGCCGAAAAAAAAATGTCGGCGGCGGAAAAAATTAACCCCTTCCTGTCCGTCACCATGCGATGAGTGCAACATCACAGCTCGTATCAATAAAACCGCGCCGAACAGGCTGCCTGTGCAACGCCTGTACTGCTAATGTCTAATATATGTGTTTACAATCGCCCCGAAAACGATTTTAGGACCAAAGCGGAGTTATATTCTTGCAACATTTCCCCTTTAATTGCTCCGTCCAGTTTATCCTTACCAGCTTCACGTTAGCGGTGGATCCCGACAGAAGAGCGGGGACGGCCCCAGAATGCATTGCGGCTGGAATCGGGAGCCCTCCGAGAACGCCTGACGGAAAGTGAGACGCGTTTGTCTTCTAACTCAGAACTATTAAGCGAAAAAATCTAAACTGTCATATACGAACGAAGGCGCTTTGTTAAATTAACCTAAACGATCGTTCTTTGTTTTCGTCAAACAGTATACGGTGTGCAATTCAAAGAGGAAACTCACAAGATGTCAAAGGGTCCTCTGTCCATACACTGGCGGCTTCGACATCCCCTTTAATGGGCCGCGAAGTCTGGCAAAAAAATCTCTACAACGGAGTGTACCTTTAATTTACTGTTTTCCCTCCAATTGCTCTTAACAACACAGCATCGTCTGGCATGAAGTGTGGGCACTTGACACGGGCATTTGTGATATTTTGGTAGGATTATGATAATAATTTTTGTTGCAATGCATGTTTGTATCTATTCATTATATTAGAACAACACTCTCATATTGATTTGCTCCTTTAGAAAGAAATCCAGGATTACGAACTTTTTTTTTTGAACTTCTGTTCTTATTTGGCATATTTTTTTTAAAAACGACACAAAGACGAAATGGCCAGGAAACCATATTTATTTACCATTCGTGTTATGTGCACAAAAAGCAACAATGTTATGAAAAATGTCATTCACCACAATAGTAGTGATAATATAACAATAGATATGCATGGCCTAGAGGACGTGTGTCAAACTCGCGGCCCACGGGCCAAATCCGGCCCGCCGGGGGTGTCCAGTGCGGCCCGCCGGATGAATACTTTATATGCTTTATTCTTCGAGCTTAGCCTATTCTACAATACATCGTAAATCTCCTTTTGGATGTAATGTTTGTATATAAGATTGACCCTGCACTACACGTTACACCCATTGAGAAATTTGTCACTTAGGAAGTAAATTAAAAAGCAATTTGAGCTAAGTGTGCGAATGCTATACTAAAACAGTTGTCTACGTTTTCTTGTTTAAGACTTGCAACTCCTGGTACTGACATATGAGAACTAGGCAAGTTAAAGCTGTAGCCTACAATGTAAACAATAAGCCACAATATATTTTAGCCCCTGTATGCGTTAGTGTCTTTTGGTATTAGAACCTAGATCTCAGTATCTGTCCTGAAGAAGGACCACAAAAGCTGCAGAAGCTGTATGCGAAAGAGACAGAGAATCATTAAACGGGCTGCTTTGTCATTGGGTGCTATTTTTTGCCGTTAACATCCATAGAAGAGCGCAGCAAAGGACAAATGTAAAGTGGCAAAATGCAAAGTAATGAAGACAAATAACAAATGCTGTAAGGCCAGTGAGGCAGCCATTGAATCAACCAGTCATGATGACGACCGTCCCCTTCCCGCTTGCAGGCTTCCTAGAGTCACAGCCTATAACGAAGGAAGAAAAGAATTCAGGTATAAAATATCACTTCAATAAAAGACAACTGGGTTTCACATATTTGTTGGATTTCTTTTACAGGTCTTGTAGCGGTCTATCAAAAAAAATTAAAAACTGACAGCAAAAAGATGAATGCTTTTTTGGCGGTGATGCAAATTGGGAAATGAAAGGGGGGGGGATAAGGTGCATGGTGTGAAGATAATTAGCTGACATTTCGGGAAGCTGTGTGGGAATGTCAAATGTCACAGCAACAGTGCAACAAAGACACACGAGCCAATGAGCGAGCCAGCAACACAGTTTTGTGTGTGTGTTGTGACAGTGAAGTTGTGAAAGGTAAAGGCTCAGACGGGTTCTGGTGGAAGATTATTGTCAGATGGAGTAGTGATATAAGGCCTGCAGGCAAAGACACAGACGTGTACAAGTAAACAACTGGATTGGGGTTGTGTGTGTGTCTGTTAGTCGCCATTTTAATTAGAGGTTTGTACTTGTGGAGGGTCCATTTAAGACTTCCTCTGCTTCTGCAGCATCTGAAGAGTCAAAGGAAGAACACGGTTTAGCCGACCCTTTCGAAGAAGGATTGTCTTTGACAATTTTGCAATGGAATTATAGTAAACTCACTGGCATTTCAATAAATGTGAGAAAATTAGGTGCAACCTTTTGCAGTAGACTGTGGCAGTACCTCTTTTCAGCCTCCTCCTGGCAAGTTTGATCTGATCTTGAAGGATCTGGACCCAGTCTCGTGGCCCGGGCAACTTCTCTATTCGATGTTCAGTGCAGTATTTCTCTGTAAACACTGGACACGGTTCACACAACTACATTAATATATACTTCATCATTTATGTGTATGTATATGTATATTAATGTGTCATTATTGTTGCACCCCGGTGCAAGGAGACTGAATGGGACTTTTGTATTTTACCTTTAATGGCGCTCACAATGTTCTGGTCCAAGCCCTTACGGTTATCATTGAGCCCTCTCTTCCTCTTACCGTTTGGCAAGGAGTTAGCCAGCGTGGTATCATCAAAAAAGGCACACACCTGGACACATCACAGCTCCACATTAAACAGATTTAGCCATTTGTCAACTTGCCGTTATAAGGGATGTAAATTATTTGTGCTATTGTAGTTTTTAATAAAATGTTAGTGGCAAGTGAGCAATGTATTGATGCACACCAGTTTCCTGAACAGCAGGCTGCCTGAGCGTGTATAGTTGAGCAGAATGGAGTCTAGCTGCGCCTTTGAGATATACACGTCATGATCCTCTGCAAGACGCACCTCGGACTGAAAGAGAATCAAATATCACAGTGTTAATTCTGAGGTATCTACGGACAACTGGTCAATTACAACACTAGATAAATTTGATTTTTGGAAGGACAAAAAGAGAGTACGCGCAAAGTAATTGTAATAGGTATTAGCTTAATGCTGAATGTAAAATAAGGATAATTGTTCAAGTCATACCATCTCAAAATGATGATCCAAAGTGGTAACTTAACAAAATGAGATATCACTTGCCGACGATATTTAATGTATATACAAGATGTATTTCAGGTTACTTAAATGGAGTCAAAGACATTCAAATTTAGAACTTTTATAAAACAAAATTAGTTATATCTTCATAAAATAAATCTGGAAGAAGATGAAGCTGGAGGTAGTCCGATGAATTTAACAACTAATTATACGGAATCATCTTTCACGTGTACATTAGGTTGCGTTGAGAAACCAAATACACACATTAAACAGACTTTGAAACTACATTTTTGAGGAGCACTTGTTTCTGTGGCCAGGCAAATAGTAAATTTGAGTCAACATTTGGATTACCTCCAACAACAGTTCCTTTAGTTGCTTCGGCAGAGGATTGTGAATGTCGTTGATAGCTACTGTATCCTCCTGAGGGGGCAGAACAGAAACCTCAGGCGAGACAGAAAGGCTGTCGTGAGAAGAGTCGTGATCTTTCTCATATCCCTCCGCCTTTCCAGATTCTGCATGTACAGCTATAAGAGGTGATGCTTGCAGGGGGCCGAGAGCGGCTCTTCTTGGTCTGGTAACATTCGGTGGCGCCACTTTATAGATTGGCCTTCTCTTGCGGGGCCTACAGCGAGGCGAGGGGCCCGGACCGAGACGAGGCTGGCCCGACGATGCTGCCCCTCCGTGTCTTTCTAAGGATGCTAGAAAAAGACAATATCACTAAGAATGTTTCCTCCCTCACTTGGTCACAGTACGTGAGTGTTTGTGTTCATCCGCTTACCTTTCTGCGTGTGCATCAGCCTCCTCATGGCACGCAGTTCCTGCAAAATAGCCTGTAAGGTTCCCTTACAATTACACATGCAGCAGGGGGCTTCTGTTGCATCAGAAGGGACGAGACCTACTGGGAAGACAGCAGAGCGATGGTAAGTGATCGTCTGCTTTAACATGCTTATATGAGTGCAAATTATATAAGTGGAAATTGCTTTCTTGCCGCGTCACAGACAACAAGTGTCTACATGGGAGACATTTGAGTTGTGTATATTCTTGGTTGTATCCCCTTCAAATCTGCTATGGCATCGTACCATTAGCTTCATTCACTTTGTTCGGATCCTTGGTATTGTTGAGGACCTTCAGGGCTTTGGAGCGAGTGCCGTACTGGCCACAACTTGGACCGTTGGGGATGGGGGTGGATATGGGTGCAGGCCCCGGGTCCCCTGCAGAGATCCAGCGGTTGCTTTGGTGGTCCTCTGACACAAGAGATGAAATGGCAGGCTGATGTACCCAGGTCTGATGCCTTTCCTGAGGGTCCTTTTTTAAGCTGTCCTGCTCTCTTACCACACGATGATATACCCTGCCGGTCTTATCACTCAGAAGCCTCATCATTCCTGTGATTTGCCTCTTGATCTCCACGCCCTCGTCCTCTAGCCAAACTACGTTGAGAAAGAAAGGTGTCGGAGTGATAGGTGAGATCTGCCTCGATACATCATAGAGATTTTATTCACGAAATGGAACATACCATCAGGAACAGCGGCATCCTTCGGGTCTCCATTTGCGTCGTTGCAGTTGGAATTCATCACATATGAAGGGGCAAAATCTGCACACAAAAGATGCAAAGATGTTGCTTTTGGAGGATGATACTGTTATCTACCCCCCCATTCCCCCTCCCATCCCATGCAGAAACCACCACCTGTAGGTGGTATGAAGAAGTGTATCCAGGAGAGGTGGCCTAGAACATTTGCTTCAGCAGAAAGTGAACAATCCAAGCTTAACGCTTGATATTCAACATGTTTCCACAATTTAGACTATTCTTCAGCCTAATCACATTCATTCACGAATCCACGCTGAGCCTCGTGTGACATGCAAGAGGACCTCCACCATGATGGCTTCCATCTGTTGCTTGTGACCGAGGCGCAGGCTATGGACGCGGGTCGAGCTCCGCCGGCACGCAGCGGCAGAACAAAAACGGCCAGACGACAGACTCGCGTCTTTCTTCCATTCGCTCAGCAGCCTACCTTCCTCCGTGACCAGTTTAAAGCTCTGCGACTTCCTCCTCCTCTTCCTTTCCCCGCACTCCATCTTCGAGGAGGGATATAATCACCTTGCAGTCGACAGACGATCGCGCGGTGGAAAAGATTCGCTCCCTGAGAACGACGGAATCGGTGACAGCGATGCGCTCAGCGGAATCAGCGTCCAGCCAGCCTCATTAATCAGTGCAATTTCTCCCCCACGTTGCGCCATATGGATCCTGTCACCGCAACGTTGCTTAAATTGCCTGGTGAATACTATCGGGTGATCGTCGCTTTTCGTTCCTTAAAATAGAAATAAAAAAATGATGCCGTTTCTTTTCCTTTTGCCATGTAAATACGTTAATGACTTTAATATTACATATTCATAACACATCCCTTTGCGCCACCTGATGGTATGTTCTCATCTGAAAGATCGAGTCACACGTTTGCCTCTTTGGTGTCCAAACAATGGACTGGCGTTTGGAATAAAGGCAATAATGAGACCACACAGTAAACAAAAAGTTTTTTCTGAATTAAATGAACATGGGCAATGGTGCATTTGCTCATATTTTACATTAAAAATAATGACTCAATGATCTTCTCGAATGTAATGTAAGGTATTGTTACATTTACATGAGAGATCTTATTTTATACACAGGTATCATATTGTATAAACCCTCTTTAGAGTTGGTGAAAATAGGGTATCCTTATATCTGATGTACTATTATATTGTGCATCAGTGGATTGATTTCCCTTCTCTCAGGTCATGACCTCGAACATTCTGAGTCACTGACAGGAAACAGGAGTTAATGTTCACTCACTTGGGACAATTGTAGGTTTCTTTAATCATCATTTCATCAATTCTCAACCATTTTCAAACTGGTCAGTTCCTGTTCGGTAGAATGTTGTGCGATTGATATACGTGTTTTTTTTGCATATTGATTTAGTCATTTATAGGTTCGAATATTGGCAATAATGTATCTAATTAATATTTTGAGTTTATATTCAAATAGCGTTAATTTGTTGTTTTATTAGTCCCAAATGAGAGTGCTTGACCTTGAAATAATAGGATGAATGTTCGTAATAAACGTACTAAACTCTCTTAGAAAATAAAATAAATAAGAAGGTGACTAAAATGGTTGATGGGTGAAAGTTATATTTTATTCTTTACATTTTTATTTTGAAACACAGTGAACCAAATAGAAAGTGATACGTGCTCTTATACTGTAATGCAACTTGTCTTTAAGCTAAGCTTCCGGGTTAACTATCGGACCCGAGCGTTCACGAGTTAACGTTGCATGTGTATTGTTTGGCCGAAATAAGCGAATAACGACCACAACTGATTTATCAATATGGATATACTGAAAGCTGAGATCGCAAGAAAAAGAAAACTCATCGAAGACAAAGATCTTGTTGACGTGAGTGACTGACGAAGTATCGTTAGCTTGGTCACCCAACTCTTCTGCTCAAGTGTTTCCTTCGTTAACTGCTAGCTGTTTGCTAACGTTAGCTAGCGTTAGCACTCGGTTCAGCCAACGCTGCCTCTCCAGAATCATCCACCTGCTCGCGTATTTCTTGTTGGATGTATTTCACATTACTGGACGCTATGTAGCGTTAGCCAACTCAAGTGTTGAACCCAATGAGACGGACATTAGCTTCCTAATAGACTGAAAGCAACGATGCTAACGATCGGTCGAGTCGGATCGAGAGCAAGTACGCAGCATTATCTGAACGTTAATGTTAGACGTCCACAATGTAGGCGGATATTCTAGCATTCATTTTAATATTATTAAAACGTGGATAGTTTCTTAAACACTGGGATTCAACGAAAAGGCGGTTCTATGTTAGCAGGGTTTGTTTTTAAAGCTGGATGGCAAAGCGATGTGGAAAAGTGGCCAGCGGGGAAGAACGTGTCCCCAGACAAATAAAAACACCAAACACAAATGCATTATTCTTTGTCTTCAAAAAACAATCTAGATGTATAAATAGTGCTAAGAGGGAACATGTGTTTTATGGGGGAAGCTGTCCCATTCAATGATGAAAACATAGATGGAACTATGCGAACTGTTTTCAGTGGAAGTTTTAAGTATTTTTCTTAAATTCAAAACAACATGGACCCCTGTGTTACAACATATTTCATTTTATTTTGATAAAGATACAATTTTTGAAAACCTCAGTCTCCCCTGTAATGTTTATAATTCATATGCAGAATATGTTTGTATGTAATTTCTAAGTACATTAGCAGTCTTTTTATATTAAAGATATACACAGTACCATCATAGCATAAGAGAAGGAAAAGGTTCGCGTATGGAACTTTGTTGTGCGACCATTTCTACGTTATGCCTTGTCAACGATTATTTTCATAGCATTACACATTGATTTTGAATAGAACTATTAAACAATCCAATTATCTTTCTGCTTCCAGGACTCCAAAACATTCTTCAAAAGGTCTGATCTCGCTCGCAAGGAACAAGAGAATTACTTCAAAAGATGTGGATATAAGGTTGATGTCAAGATCACTTTCCTTCTCCTACTCTCACACACAAATACACATAAATCATTGCCTTTCTTCAGTTTAATCTCATGTTTGGGATGCCACTCTTACTACTGTAGCTTAACGTTTTGCACGGAAGCAAAATAAGGTCAGGCAATGATGCCCAGGTGTATATTGGTGTCTGTGTGTGCTGTTTTTTCCCAACCTGCCTCTGCTGCCTGCATCTGTAGGTGCAGAGAGAGTCACCTGAGAGCCAGGTATGGGATTGCACAGTGAAAGTAGCTGACAGGATGCATGATGAAGCAGGATAGAACACTCTGTGTCCCAAAGGTTTTAGCTTCCTTGATGCAATTTTTTTTTGGAAGTCAACATAAATATCATGGTGGAGACCTCTTTATTTTCCAGTGGAGGTTAGAAATAACTCCACAAAGGCACTAGATAATGACATTTATTCTACACCTGACGTCTCAATCAATCAGTAAACCAGTACTACATTTATGTCTGGCCTAGGCTTAGGAGAGCTGGAACATTCAACCAGCTCTCCTCTGCATATTGTGCATGTTGAAATCACTACAGTCCAAATCCTTCTGAAAAGTCAATTTTCTTTTTTGTTTAGTAGTTTAAGTAGCTCATAATCTAACCTTTTGCACTACAAAACATGAATTACTGAAATAAATCCAGAACATTATTAATATGCTGAAGCTTGTCATGCTTCTAATCAATATTTATGCCTTTAACAATTTTATTTTTATATGCAGTAATTATTAGGTCATCTATACTACATGCAGGACCAGTTATCAGGCAACTAATCCACAAACCTAGTGGGACACAGACATTGTGTAATCAGCATGTTCTACTGAACTGAAATGAAAGATGATTCTGTTACCTGTTCTGTGCACCTCCTATTTTGCACATAATCTGTAACAGTAGCTGTACTATTTCGACCATCCAAATGTTTCTCCTGGTTTGCGTTGTTGCTCTTTAGAAAACTGTATTTCTGTTCAACTTTGTGCAAATTGGCTTGAAATGTCTAAAGCATTAAGCTTTGCTCTTTGTACACATGCATTCAAACGTGTTTATCCGAACAAGGGTTGTTTGGGAGGCTTTTGTTCTCTTTCTGTTTGTTCTTTTAGATTGTGCTCCTCACACCACAATCTAAGAGTGCTGAGATGCATGTGCCTATAAAAGCATGATTTGAGTTTCCTTAATGATAAAAAATGTAAAAAATAAATGCAATATGATTTATTTAATTTCTCAAAATCATTGCTTATTTTCAATGAATTGTCTTCATAGAGGAGGCTGCAGGTAAGATAAGGATGTGAATATGTGCATTCAAACATACCAAAAGGACACATCCATGTCCCTCCTGAGGTCTCATTTCATAAGGACATTGTCCCAAAAAGAGAAATCTTTCAATTTTCTCATTAAATGATCTTTTATCAATCCCTTCAATAATAAGTGTATTTCTGTCTCCTCCATGTTATCCTGAAGGTTGATAAGAAAGATGAGCAATCCACCTCAGCTAATCCAGTGTTAGAAATGGAACTAACGGAAGAAAAGCTGCCAATGACACTGTCAAGACAGGAGGTGAGTCAATATAAAATATCATGTTCCCTAACAATATTATTCTTTCCATAACAGAAATGGGTTGAGTTTTTTGGGTTGCTCTGTGCGTGTAGGTGGTTCGGCGGCTAAGAGAACGAGCAGAACCAGTCCGGCTGTTTGGAGAGTCTGATTATGATGCCTTCCAGAGACTCAGGAAGATTGAGATTCTGACCCCAGAAGTTAACAAGGTAGGACAATATAGAGGGACACATCATCCAGTAAAGCGATGATGATTCTGGGGGGAAATAATCATTCAATAACCACAAAATATCAAAAAATGTTCAACACTGCCTCTGCATCTAGGGCTTGAGGAACGACCTCAAAGCAGCCATGGACAAGATCGACCTGAAGTACCTGAATGAGATCGTTGGCGGAACGGAGCCCGGAGAAGTGGACACACAGCATGACCTGAAAGTGCACGAAGAACACACCACCATAGAAGAATTGGAGGTATATTGCAGATTTAATGCTGCGTGCTGTACAGAATCAGGTTCTTTTCTGTTTGATCAAGATATATACAATTTGTGAATAACTACTGACTCATTCCATGTCCAAATCTGTGCATTGCAACATCGCTATCAGTTGCATATGTTCAATGAATTTTGTTTTGCAGTAAGATATGGCCATGATTGCGTTTATGTTTCAATGCTGGAACTCTCCTTCAGGCTCTTCGTAACACTCTGGGCACTGGGGATGATGAGGGAGACCAGGAAGTTATCGACAAGTTTTTGAGGGTAAGGCAAGAAGCTGATGCTCTACCTTTGATCTGTGGAATGCTGTTTTAGTCAAATTAAATAAATGAATAAATAGGTAAATACATGAAATATGCATTTGAAATACATCATGAAATAAATAAATGAGGCAGTAAATACATAAATATTAAATACATTTAATTATTTCATGGTACTTTTATTTCATAATGCAATAAATACATAAATAGTAAATACATTTAATTATTTCATGGTACTTTTATTTCATAATGCCACTTTTCATTTCATGGTACTTGTATTTCTTAATGCCACTTTTCATTTCCAGAGTCTTTTATTTCATAATGCCACTTTTCGTTTCCAGAGTCTTTTATTTCATAATGCCACTTTTCATTTCCAGAGTCTTTTATTTCATAATGCCACTTTTCATATCCAGAGTCTTTTATTTCATAATGCCACTTTTCATTTCCAGAGTCTATTATTTCATAATGCCACATTTCATTTCTAGAGTCTTTTATTTCATAATGCCGTTTTTCATTTCCAGAGACTTATTTCATAATGCCGTTTTACATTTCACGTTCTTAAATGCAAATCAGGGGGCGTGGCTACATCTAACATTCAGAACAGACAACAGAGC